AATACAATCAACAATGCAACAAACACCACACTCAGCAGCGCAACACAATCACCAGCACCACCACCGCACCACCGCACCTCGAGCATGCCCTGCGCGCGCTTGTGTGTGTTTGGACGCATGAAGAGGTCGCGGAGGACGAGGCGGCGGTTCGGGTCGCGTCGCAGCACAAGATCCGCTTGCTCAACAAGATCCTGATGGTGGCGATGGTGGTGATGATAGCGATGGTGGTGGGCACGATTGACCAAGGGAATGAAAGCAGCGAGACGAACAACAAACATGCAGTGCAATCAAAAAACACACCCACACACCCACACACCCACACGCGCACACAAACCACCACACCATCCATCCAACCACCAAATGCGGCCACCACACACTTTCCCCCTCCCCTATGGAACCGCACCTCGCGCTCCTTGCGTTCGCGCTCGAGCTGCCTGTATCTGCTCTGCAGGTTCTTGATGCCCGTGTGCGCAGCCTGGATGCTGGCAGCGCTGCCCCGGTACGAAATCTCCTTCAGGTACACCAGCGACGGCTGCCAAAGGAGGTGGTTGGTGTGTGGTGAGAACGTGTTCGGTTGAGACATCATGCACTGAAGCAAGGCGGCCACACACACACACACACACACACACACACACACACACACACACACACACACACACACACACACACACACACACACACACACACACACGCACGCACACACGCACACACACACACACGCACGCACACACACACACACACACACGCACGCACACACACACACACCAAAGCAAACACACACACACACACAACCATTGACGAACCTGCCCTGCTGTTGCGCCGGAACGGATGGTGGTGATGCCTGGCGTCGCAAAGTTGATGCGCAGGAAGGGCGTCTGCGTGTCATCGGCATAGCTCGTGTTCTTGATCGTGCTGATGTGGAAGGGAGTCGCAATGCCGAAGATGGGCAGAATCACAGTCTCGTGCTTGGAATCTGTGCACAGCAGCCATACCAACAACAACAACAACAACAGCCGCAATGAACGCGTGTTGGTATGATGAGTGTTTGACGTGGATCAATAGTGTGAGGAGTGTTCTTCCTCAAGCACGGAACACACACACACACGTGCACGCACCAACGAAGATTTTGAGGCGTGCGGCTTCGCGCTTTGGAAAGGCCTTGTTGGACGTGTAGGCGACAATTTCCTCCTTGTGCTCCTCCTCGTCGCTCACGTCGCCCTCGTTCTCAAGCCGCCGCTTCGCAGCCTCGTGCAGCTGGAAGGCGGTGCAAAGTTGTGTTGTGGATGTGTATGAGTGAGTGAGTGTGTGTGTGTGAGTGAGTGAGTGAGTGTGCGTGTGTGTGTGTGTGCGTGTATGAGTGAGTGAGTGAGTGAGTGTGTGTGCGTGTGTGTGTGTGTGTGTGTGTGTGTGTGTGTGTGTGTGTGTGTGTGTGTGTGTGTGTGTGTGTGTGTGTGTGCGTGTGTGTGTGTGTGTGTGGTGTGACCATACACGCCCAGCGAGCAAGCAATCGCAGCCACAACCACCGCCATGGTCATGAGCGTCGCTGCAGGCGCTACCTTTCTGCCGAGTTCCTTCTGGTGTTCGCGCCGCTGGTCTTCTTTGCTCGCAAACGACGTCGTCGTCTGCCGCTTCGGCCGGTGCTCGTCCTGTTGACAACAACATTGAGGATGGAGGGTGGACAGGTTGGGGTGGGTGTGGGTGTTGGGGTGTTGGGAGTAGGGATGGAAGCCACATGTCGCCACACGCATGTGGATGTGCAGCCCACAACGCGACAATAAATTGCACCGCAGTCAACCGTTCGCACCTTGAGGAGTTCACGCACGGCGTCCTCGGTTGTTGTCTCCTTCTCCTCCTGGTCAAACTCAAAGGAGCAGTGGTCCCATGTGCTCTTGCTCTTCGCCGTCAGCACCTCCACCCCGCTCTCCTTCACCACAACCGTGTCCACAATGTTGATGGCATACTCCCCCTGCACACGGGCACACAAGCGCATGTACACACATACAGTCAGTAGGAATGGCATCCCAGAGCAATGCAGCGATGTAAAACACAAAGGCACACACACACACACACAACACGACTGTGGAGCGCAACCCAAGTGCACAAAAGCACACACACACACACGCACGCACCACAACTGTGGAGCGCAACCCAAGTGCACAAAAGCACACACACACACACTCTCTCTCTCTCTACCACACACCTTCTTGGACTTGAGGTCTTGCAGACCAACGGTGAGACAGAGCGTCATGTTGGCTGTGATCTTGTGCTGATTCTGATGAGTGGTAACGAGCAACAGCGCCACAGGAGCGGCGAGTGAGCGGAGCAAACGCTGGAGGAGAGCGGCCGTCAAATACGCGCGCACCCAACGCGCACATGGCTGACACACGCGCACACACTTATACACGGCACACACAACAAGCACACGACGCACACACACACACACACACACACAACAAGCACATACACCACACACAACAAGCACATACAACACACACAACAAGCACACGACGCACACACACACACACACAACAAGCACATACACCACACAGCAAAAACACACGTTGGCCTTGATGGTGAGGAAGGAGTCGCGGAACTCGAGTCCGGTTGAAAACCCAAGCGTCTTTGGCAGGTGGTCCACAAGCTCAGGTCGCTTCTCCTGCACAAACGAAACAACAGCGGCGTGCGCATCGCCGAGCGTGGCGCCTGATGGTGATGGTGGTGGTGGTGGTTGATTGGTGTGGCAGGGTCGTTGGTGGACGTGAGGAAGGTGTAAGAGGCGTGCAATTGATGTTCATGTGATGATGATTGTCACACTGATACATTGACGCAGTCTACAACTAACTGACCAGTGCGTCCGCACAACATATACACACACCAACACAACACAATCATAGCGCAATCGCAGTACAACGACAATGCGTGCAGACCTGGCTTGAGCGCCTTCTGCAGCACTTCCGACATCTCGAGTGCAAACTTGTAGTTTTCCTCTTGGTCCTGGCACGTTTGGAGGGCCGAGTGGGCGGTGGGAGGTGAGATAGTATGTTGAGGAAAATGCACATTTGCACACACGCACACACACACACACACACACACACACACACACACACACACACACACACACACACACACACACACACACACGCACACACGCACGGTTCACACACATGCATGCAAACACACAGAGCTCACACACACACATGCATGCAAACACAAACACCCACCCCCTCCATACACACACACCACACGCACCTTTGTCGCCTCGACAAAGAAGGTGCGGCCGACGTTTGCGCACATGGACTTGTACTTGATCCCGACGCTGCAGAGAACAACGCCCGGCTTAAGGCGTCGCTCATCGGACATAACACTCAGCTTGAGGGAGAGCCGCTTGCCAGACTGCACAATGGGCTCGTAGCACACCTCAAAGTCGTGTGGGCTGAGCTTGAGCTTTGCGGCCTGCTTCCCGTTCTCAACAGACTCGCGCACGCCAGCAGCAATCTCCTCATGCGCCGCAGGCTGACACGTGAAGCGATGGTGGCGGTGGCAATGGGGTTGTGGTGAAAAGGGGAGGATACTGGTGAGCATCATCGGTGAACAACTAACACGCACACAATCACAACTTCAGTGCACGCACACACGCACGCACGCACACACGCACACACAAACAAGCAAACACACGCACGCACGCACAAACAAACAAACAAATACACACACACCGCACATCACATGCACACACTTGGGGCTCTCCAAAGTTGTTGAGGAGGCTTCGTTTCATCTCCTTGTTCATGGCGAGGCTGGATGCTGTGGCTGCTACCTCTGTCCACGCCACTTCCTCGTCTGTCTTGCCTGCAAGCAGCACGGCAACTTGCTCGCTCGCATCCACAAGCTCAGCGCCTGAGTCAACCATTGTACGTGCATGGAGTGATTTATGAGTTTGTGTGAGTGAGTGAAATGTTGTGCGCGTGCGCGTGTGCGTGTGCGTGCGTGTTGTATATGCGCTTCAAAGATGAAGCAGTGGAACAAACGTTCCTCTTGAGCTTACAAGCAATCCAATGTGCAAAACGGCACACACACACACAACATCCCACAACAGCAAAGCGATGCCGCCGCGCGTACTCTTCTCGAGGGCGGCGTAGAAGGAGGTGAGGAACGGGCCCTGGTCCAGTTTGCGTTTGTTCACCAGATATCCCACACGCTGAGACAACACAAGACGAAAGGAGAGCAAGACGTGCACGGCAATGAGACAAGGTGGCTCAAGACGAAAAAAAACGCACACAATGTCCACAGGGCATTCACGCTGGCGGGCATCAGCGTATCAGGCATCCCGAACAAGGACGGGCAAGTGACGAGCAAGCACGGGTGCAAACTCTGTATGTGTCTCTGTCACTTTCTGTCGCTCTCTATCACTCTCTGTCACTCTCTGTCACTCTCACTCTCTCGCTCTCTCTCTCTCTGTGTGCCTGTCTCTCGCTCTCACGCACCTTGCCAGCGGCTGTGATGGTTTCCACGACCTTCTTGATGTTTGCGGCATCTTTGTCAGCCTGTAACCACGCCAAAGTGTATGTGAGTGAGCGCCAATGTAAGAGGGAGGACGCGTGCAGGTGCAGGTTCCAATGAACAGCCCAAATCACCGCGCATCACACACAATGCTGTCCCAACGCACACACCTTGTTGCGAATGATAAACTCGCAGGGAATCGGCGAGCCCTGGTCAACCAGCCAGCCAATGCACCGTCAGCAAACACGTGCGTCAGCAAACACGTGCGTCAGCCAACATGAGCAGCAGTCAACAGATACGCACACACGCACACACGCACACACAGACACACAAACACACACACATGCGCACAGAAGTACAGTATTCACCTCTGTGGGAGGCTTGAGGGCCTCGGCCTTCTTCTTGCTGGTGAACACCAGCATCTTGTCGGCAAAGCACACAAAGACAGTATCTGCAAACAAGTAGCCTGTCAGCCACAGCTGCATGCACAAGCGTCCGCATACGTGCGTGTGTGCGTGCGTGCGTGTGTGTGTGCGTGCGTGCGTGCGTGTGTGTGTGTGTGTGCGTGTGTGTGAGTGAGCATACGTGTGAGTGAGGCAATCAAACCTCCAGCATTCAAATCTCCAGGGCAGTAGCACCCGCACCCGCAGTATCCGTCAGCACGACAGACAGACAGACACAAACACATGCACGCATGCAGGCACACACACACACACACACACACACACACACACACACACACACACACACACTCACTCACTCACAGTGCATGCGGTAAGAAGCATCCACCCCACAGCCACCCCGCAGCCACCCCACAGCCACCAGCAGCCACCCCACACCCACGCCCTCCCACAGCCAGGGTGCACTCACCATCATGGCTTGTTGCTTGCTGTAAGCGCCCGTGCCTTGCTCCTGGCTCAGGGAGAACACGATGCTGTTCACATCGCCAAACTTTCCCTCCTTCACCGCGCCAGCCAGTCTGCCCAGCGCATGCTGCAGGTGCTTTGCATCAATGTCCGCCATGGTTGCCCTTCTTCCTGTCTTTGTTGATGACGTTCTGAGTAAAGAGTGAGCGTGCGTGATGGTGTGCGTGATGTGCGTGAGTGAGAGTGAGCGCGCGTGAGCGTGCGTGAGTAAGTGAGAGGGAGGAGAGATGTTGGGGGGGGGTTGAACAGACAGAGGAGGGCGCACCACCACAGCCACCACCCGCATCACCATCACCATCACCACCACCACAGCGACACAGCACCAACCACACCAACCTGTTCGCGCAGCAAAGTTTGCCGTTTTGGCGCGTAAACACCCGCGTGTATGCCGATGTCCTATTTATAGCATAGTGGCACTTACCGCAACCAACGCGCACAACAACAACGACCACACGCGACGACGCACAGCAGCACCACCAGCAGCACCAGAAGGGGCATGTTTGGGAGGCAGGCACAGCAGGCCATGGCCATGTTGATGGCTGCACAGCAGCAGCGCCAACAGCTGCTGCACCAGCAACAGCAGCAACGTCAACAACTGCTGCACCAACAGCAGCAACAACAGTTCCAGCACATGCATCAGCAGCATCAACACCAACAGCACATGAACCAACAATACGCCAACCCAGCATTCCACCACCAACAACACCAACAACACCAACAACAGCAGCAACAGCAGCAACTCCTGCAGCACCTTCACCAGCAAGAGCAACATGGGCAGGGCAGTACGCGCAAGCGCAAGCATTGCCGCTTGATCAGCAACAAGCCCAACAACCACAACCACAGCATCACCAACAACAGCATACGCAGCAGCACCAAACACATCACAGCATCAGTACCACCAGAGCGTCAGGCTCACAGCAGCACAGCAGCACAGTCCTGATCGGTGCGGGACCGATTGATACATCGTCGCACCAGGTGTGGAAGTGGGCATGTGTGTCTGGGCCAAAGTGGAAGGCTTCAGGCCCTGGCCTGGAAAGGTGCGTGGAACGAGCACGGTCCTAGGCCCGCACTTTGATGGTGTAATCTTATATTCAGATGCACAAACCCACAAACGCGTTCACTCGCCCACGCACACGCACACACACACACTCACTCACACACACACACTCACTCACTCACTCACTCACTCACTCACCCACTCACTCACTCACTCACTCATTCACTCACTCACTCACTCACCCACTCACTCACTCACTCACCCACCCACTCACTCACTCACTCACCCACCCACTCACTCACTCACTCACTCACACACACACACACTCACTCACACCCACACACACACCCGCTCACACACTCCTCCACTCATGTAACCTATGCATGACACATGCAGGTGATGAAGAAGCGAAAGACGACCCGGTTCAAGCGTGGCGTTCCCGTCATGTTCTTCGGCGAAGACGACGAGTTGTACGTAACACAGCACCTGAGCAGTGCATGCCTGCCCTTTCTTACACATGCGCACACGCGCGCAAAGACACACAACACGCACGTCACAGTTATTCTTCTTGTTCCGCTTGTTCCGCTTGTTTCACTTCTCCTGTTCCTTCTTCCTCTTTGCCGCTGTCGTGCTGGATTTTCGCCTTGCTCAAGCCCTTCCATCTTCTTCAGCCCCCTTCTTCTCCCCTTCCCCCCTGCCATGGTCACCGTCGCTGACATACACCACACCCTCTCCCTGCGATGTCTTGTTGTGTTGCCACCAGCTCGTGGATCGAGCAGCACCAGATGCTGCCCATCCAGCCCAATACCATTGCCGAGTTCATCCGCGACACGGACGACATGTTCCTTGAAGCCCTCATCCACGCCTTCACCAAATGCTTCCGCCCGTGCCCCGTACGCTTCCTTCCCCTGGCTTTGCTCCTGCTTCTGCTGCTGGTTGCTGTTGTTGGGGTTGGTTCTGCTTGCGGCTGCACTTGATGGCAGCACATGCAGAGATGTGACCCCTTTTCCTTCCCCCTCCTCCCCCCCCAACCCTCACTCCAAACTCTCCCCCTCCCACACATATCCCCAACACATAACCCCCTCACCCCTCGCTCCGCGCCGCAGGTGTGCCGGAAGGTGTTCGCCAAGGACGATGATGTGGCCAACCACATGCAGCGCCACCACCCCGGCACGCGCTTCACCAAGGCCGCCGTCCAGGACGCCATGTACCACATGCACACGGAGTTGCGCATCTACGTCGACCGCGCCTCGTGCAACTTCTACCGCAGCGTGCTCATCCCCAACACGTCGTTCCCGCCGCTCGACCTCGACACGTCGTGCAAGGTGCGCACGATGCTGGACGCGGCACCGCGGCTGCCGGGCGACCGCGAGCGGCTCGTGCGGTTGGAGGTGGAGGCGAAGCTTCGCTCGACACCACACGCGATGGCACGCACGCTTCCGCGACAGGAGACGACGCAGGGCCCGACGCAGGCCACAGCGGAGGGCGCGCGTGTTGTGAACAAGACCAAGTCGCAGTACATGCAGCGAGCAAAGTCGACCAAGGGCAGCGGGCAGGGCGGCGACGGTGCCGATGGCGCTGATGAGGAGTCACCGTTTGCCGGCGCTTGCATCCGGTCAGGGGACACGTTGGGTGTTGTGTGTGTGCGTGTGTGTATGTGTGTGCGTGTGTGTGTGTGTATGTGTGCATATGTGTGCATATGTGTGCATATGTGTGCGTGTGTGTGCATGTGTGTGTGCGTGTGTGTGCATGTGTGTGTGCGTGTGTGTGCATGTGTGTGCATGTGTGTCCGAACACACACACGGGCAGAACCACGGTGCTGACCGCTTCCACCACACACCCACATGCACCCTACCCCAACCCAACTTACCTCACCCCACCACATGCACCACCACCATCAACAACAGCGTTGGCGACGAGTATCAGGCGACGCTGCTGCCAGATGTTGTGCCGGCTGAGGGTCAGTTGCCATCTCTTTCATCGGCAATAGCCCGCATGCGATGTGTAGTCTGCCATGCTTTCACCTGTTCACTTGCTTGCCTGCTTGCTTGCCCGCTTGCCCGCTTGCTACCCTTCGCCTTCAGTTGCAACTGCTTCCGACACCACTATTCACATGCAATCCACCATCAACTCACATATGAACCTACCCATTGCTACACCCTCAACTCCCCCCTCACACCCTTCACACCCTTCATTCCGCATACCCCCCGTGTCCCATCTCCAACACCGCAGATTACAGCAACCCGTACCCGCCTGCCAGGAACGTGTGGGACCCCGAGTGCGATGTCGGCGACATGCACGCCATGTCCGTGTTTGCGTCTCGTGCGCGTGCGGGGACGGCTGCTGCTGGCGGCGTTGAGTTTGCGCACCACCTCGCGTACCAGCTGTACTGCCGTGAACGTGGCATTCCACTCGACACTCAAGACGATGATGACAACACAGACGAGCAGCAGCAGCATGGTGATGGTGATGGTGATGGCGGTGATGGTGGTGATGGCACGAAAGGCAGTCGGGGTGGTGGTGCGGCGGCAGTGAAGACGGAGCAGCAGCAGCAGCAGCAATTTGAGCAGCCGAAGATACAGGGAACAGCGCAGGGCAGCGTGCATGGTGATGGTGCTGGTGATGGTGTCATTGAGCAGCCAGCCACGCAGGTGGACACATCATCCACTGATGAGGCCGAGTCAAAGGCTGCTGCTGCGTCAACAGCATCACCTTCCACAACAACAAGAGCGGCTATTGTCAGTGATGAGGACAAGGCAAAGGCCCTTGAAGCAGGTCAAACGCAAGAACGCATCGCAGGGAACACCAGCCCACCTGAGGCAGCTCCTGCCACTGCTGCAGCTGCAGCTGCAACAACTGCTGTTGAGGTCAAGGAGGAGGCGCCGACACAACCGGGCGGTGACCCGACAGCCAAGACGACCACGGACACACTTTCCACCCAAACCCCAACAGCAGCAGCAACAACAGCAGCAACAGCAACAGCAGCAACAGCAACAGCAACAGCAGCAGTGACAGAGGTGGCAGGGAAGGTTGATGGGCGGAAGAAGCGGCGAGGAGGAACGCTGCCACGACCGCTGGAGGCCGGCAGCTATCACGACACTGCCATCCTCAGACACCTCGTCTCCCTCGACCACGCTCCGCCACCAGCAACGCTCAAAGGTGCGGCAAGTGCTGTGGTGTGTACTTGTGAATGGGGATGTGTGGGTGGGTGTGTCTGTGTGAGTGTGTGTGTGTGTGTTTGTGTGTGTTTGTGTGTGTGTGTGTGAGTGTGTACTCCTTGTGTGCGTTTGTTCGGTTGCTGTTGCCCAGCTCAACAGCTTGGTTGCCTCTCTTGTGTGTGCGTGTGTACTGCCCATCATGTAGACTACGTGTACCCTGGCCAGGTCGTGTGGACAAAGGAGGAACGCGAAAAGTTTGCAGAACGTGAGAGTGCATGCCTTTTTCTTTGGTGTCGTGTGTGTGTGTGTGTGTCCATGCCTCTGCACATGGTTGCAGTCACTTTGTGTTGTCACGCCTCTCGTATTCCACCCTCACCGCCTGCGTTGATGCGGCCGACAGTGTACGAGGAATATGGAAAACAGTTCCATGTGCTGGCGCTTATGGTGAGAGCACCCTCAGTTCGTGCCGAATTTGCTGTTCATGGCCTCTTGTTTTGTGGTGTCGTTGTGTGTGTCATCTTGCTTCACTTTACCTTTTGGATGGTTTCTCGAAGTTCACACACACACACACACACACACACACGTACACACACAATACGAACACGCAATACAAAAACACGTACACACACAATACGAACACGCAATGCAAATACACGCACACGCACATACCTGCAACCTGTGCGATAATAGTTTCAAACAAAGACCCACCGGGACATGGTTGAGTACTACTACCACCACTTCAAGTACAAGGATCCACAGTTTTACCGCATTAGGAAAGCGCTCCGCCAGCGCACGTCAGAGGCAGAATCCCTCGTCGCACAAGTCGGCGAAGTCTCGGTGAGCACTCAACATGGCGGCTTGTTTTTGGTTTTTGTTGTTCGTATTTGTGTGTGTGTGTGTTGATGGGAGTGAGTGTCGAGTACACTCGCGCTGTTGGACCATCGCTGTATGAGCTGCGCATCTGTGTGCACCACTACCGCTCGCGCGCTGACGCCCATGCACCACTGCCACCATCAGGAGTGCGACGTGTGCGCAACAAAGGCAACAGGCCGGTGGCGCGAAGTGACGACGGAGAGCGGCAAGCGCGAGGACTGGTGCGACTTCTGCTACCAATACCGCAACAAGTGAGTTGGCGCCACGCTTGGGTTTGCTCGTGAAGGAAGATGTGTTTTTTTTTTTTGGGGGGGGGGGGTGGGGGACAGGAGGAAGGATTGAATGATCACCGCATCACCTCACAGCAGTCACTCGCATGCAAACATCCAACATCTCCACGCTGTGCCACTGCACCTTTCCTGTACCTTTCCTGCGCCTCCTCAACCACCTCAACCATCGCCACCATCACCATCAGGTATGGTGTTGCGCCGCAGGGCCGCGCGCTTGAGGAGAGCAGGACACGACTTCTCCCGAGCTGGCTCGTCGGAGCCGTCGGTACGCACACCCCCCGATTGATGATCGTGGGTGGGAGTTGTGGTTGGTGGCGATTGGTGTCGGTGGTGTAGGTAGTTGTCGTTGTCGCTGTCGCTGTCGTTGGTTCAAACTAATGCTTGTTGCAAAGGGTGCAGTCTGTATGGCATGCTCGTGGTGAAAGCCCACGTTCACTCTTCCTCATTCATGCCACGCACCAACATGAACTTATGAACTCGCCGCCACCATGCACCACTGTATCTCCAGCTGGCCCCAAGGACGCCGACCGCAAACCCCCGGTGCCTGCCACAACGCCGCCGCCACCATCATCGTCGTCGTCATCATCATCGTCACGGCGAAGTGGCGCGAAGAAGAGGGGCGGGCAGGCGTCAAACGCAGCCAGGAGACGCGCACCAGCAAACACATCCCGGTCAGTGGGGGAGGGGGTGGGATGGAGGGGTTGGAGGGGTTGGAGGCAGTTGCCGGAGATAGCGTAGCACCTCCACACACACACACACACACACACACACACACACACACACACACACACACACACACACACACACACACACACACACACACACACACACACACACACACACGCACGCACACACGCACGCACACACGCACGCACGCACATGACCATTATCCAATTCCCTTATTCACGCATGTGGTTAACTGTGCTTTACTGTGTGCGTGTCCGCAACTGACAGGCGCGGAGGCGGCGGCAGTAACCCAACGAAGAAGCGCAAGGGAGCATGACCGTGTACTTGGGGGAGGACAGAAGACACGTGTCCATGCATGCATCGGCACGTGGATGGATGAACGCATGTATTGAGTGTGGCCTGATAGGGTTGGGTGTGTGGTCTTGGTTGGTGGATGGAGACGTGTTGGCTGTTGACTACTGCCTTCTCCGACCGATCTAAGCGCTCTGTGTTGCGAACACGCACACGCGCACGTTCGCATGCGGGAGAGGGGAGAGAGAGAGGTGAGCGATTGGGTGAGCGGGTGAGTTAACGAGACAGGTGTTGAGTTTTGCGCTGGCCTTTGGTCTTTTTGCTCTTGCTTTGTGTCTCCTTTGCCTTTCCAATAAAGTAACAGACTGAGCCCAACTTCATGTGTGCGTGTGTGTGCATGTGTATGCCCTCAACAACATACCCCGCCAACACGGTCGCGGGGAATGAGCCGAAGTTCAGAGCCGTGCTTCAGGAACACGTTGCCTGCGGGGTGTGGTGGGTGATGTAATGTGAGGAAAAGCAACGCAATGCAACAACAAACGCGAGTGGCTGAAGTGCTCCAGGTACAAGCTATACGCCTGCGCACGACTGCGCACACCTGCTTCCCCCCCCCCCCCCCACACACACACATACACACAGGACACCCGCATACCTGCGCTTTGGGATGGGTTGATGCCAATGCCATCGTTGGTGATGATGGCAGAGGTCTCTGGAGGAACACGGAACTGTGCGGCATGGCATGGCAAGATGGAGGGCGGGTACGGCGCGGCGTGAATCGTGTGAACGACAAAGGCGACATCCAAACGTAAACTTGCGCACATAAACACACACACACACACACACACAAACACACGACAACAAAGCGTGGGGGATATACCTCCTCTGCGACATATTTCAGCACGTGCGTGAATGCAGTGTCCTCCGGAACCTTCAGCCTGTCATGCATGTGTGTTTTGTGTTGTGTGTGCGTGCGTGTGGGTGGGTGGGTGTGAGGAGAGAAGGCGCACAAGTGCGCGCATACACACACACACACACACACTCTCTCTCTCTCTCTCTCTCTCTCTCTCACTCACTCGCTTACACTTTGTATGGCAGCTTCGGGTCCGAAGTCAGGGTAATCTTGAAGGAAACGGTGGGCTTCGACCTGGGAGCACAAAGGGTGAAAACGGAGGTGAGGAGAGGCAGGAGGACGTGCAAGAAGCAGGAGATGGTGCATGAAGCAGGAGATGGTGCACAGACACAGACACACACACACACGGACACAGACACAGACACAGACACACAGACACAGACACAGACACACACAGACACAGACACACACAGACACACACAGACACACACAAACACACAAACACACACACACACACACACACACACACACACACACACACACACACACACACACACACACACACACACACACACACACACACACACACACACACACACACACACACACACACACACACACACACACACACATGTCGCGTCTTGGTGGGGGCGGTTTACGACAGCAAAAAATGCGGTTAGCAACAACGCAAACACACCGACCGATATCCGCACCAGCCAACCAGGCACCTGCCGTTCTCACAACGTTGCTTTGCTTTCCCAAACACAAACACACACACACTCTCACCCCCCCCCCTCCTCACCTCTCTCTTGCCTCTGTCTCTTTTACGTCACAGCCGCTTTGGCTTTGCTTCCGCGCTGTGCTTTCCTTTTGATTTCCTCATTGTTTGCTTGCACTGCCACCCCACACCCCACACCCCAAGCGTCGCTCTGGTTCCTCCAGCCTGTGCCATGCACATGTCCTGTTTTGGTTAGCAACAGACACACAGACCACACGCACACCAAAGCCACTATTACGACTGCGTTACACGTTCAGAGGGATCCCGTGTACCTGGGGGCGCACCCATCTCAACAGGGGCGCTGACTTTGCATCAGCAAGTCACCCCGTTCCGCAATAACCCCCACCCCCCTTTCTCTATTTTCCTCCACACATATCCCCTCAACACACATCCCCCCAACACATATCCCCTCACAATGGCAACCACACAGCGGGAAGGGTCGCCCTCGCGTGCAAGCAACAGCGACACCAACACCCATGTATCCTCATCTCGCTCTCGCCACTCTTCTGCCAGCCAGGTCTGTTTGAGTGCCCATCCCACCTTCATCACCGCTTGCACTGCCACGATGCGACCACCCCATTCATCATCAGCAGTAGCGGCACCATCAACCTTACTTCAAGCACCGAAGCTTACTCGTTTGGCCCTGCGTGTCACTCATTCTCAGGCTGACGTTCATCCTCACATGCACACATTTACAAAACATATGCACCCGCTCATACACCCACTCATGTGCTCGTGGCTGCTCCTCGTGTGTTGTGTGCGTGTGTGCGTGTGACCAGGGTGGAGTTGTGCTGCCGTTCACGCGTCGGCTGCATGAGATCAACACCCAGGACCTCCTGGCCTCATGCTCGCCCCAGCACGCACCGCTGTCCCCATCATCACTGCCCTACACATCACAGCACCGCCTCCTCTTCCAACATCAGCAACAACAGCAGCAGTACTCACAGCAGGTCTTCGAGTATGATGCGGTCTCCATATCCGCCGTGAGCGCCAGCACGCCGCGGCCGCTTGTGGCGCAAAGCACACCTAACAGGCTTGTGCTTCCCCAGCTCTACACCCCAGACACAACCGGCATGCAAACGCCCGCCGACAGCAGCATCCTCTCCCACGTGCAGCACCAGCACCAGCACCACCATCAACAACAGCACCACAGGATGCGAGGACGGCGGTCCATCAGTCTTGGCAGCAGCTTCGGTGACGACCACGCCATGTCTGCAAACAGCAGGATACAGCAGCACCACCAGCACCATCATCATCAACAACAACAACAACAGCACCGCCAGCACTATCAACTACAACGGCAGGTATCCTTGCGCCGGGGACGCGTGCGACGAGGCATGTCTGACAGCATGGCACCACAGGCTGCTGTGGAGCGTGACGCACAGGCATTGGCGCAGCCCAAAGCCAATGGCTCAGACCTTGCTGCCGAGTCAACCACAGGCAACACCAACACTAACAGCGACAACAACACCACTGGTAGTCGACGCGCCCGCAGTGGCACTCGGCGTGAGCGGCGGAGGCGGGGGCGGGGTGTGGCGATAGCGCCGACAACACGTGCAGCATCAACACCACCACCACCACCACCACAACAACAACAACAACAACAACAACAACAACAACAACAACAACAACACCGTCACCGAGCGTCTCGAATGGAGATGGTGTCGTCATCGTCGTCACTGGCGGATACAATTGACTCGAGCGTGTTTGATGGCGATATCAGCCCCCTGCAGGCCCTCGGCCTCTCCGCAGACACATCACCATCGCCGTCGTTTGCCGGCAGGCGTACACACTCCCCCGCTGATGTGTTTACCTTCAACCTGCACCATGGCGACGACAGCAGCCACCACCACCACCAACATCGTCTTCATCGCCGGCACAGCAGCTCGGGACTGCGGCGCCAACAGCACAGCGGCAGTGATGTTGACAGCAGGGGCGGTGGCGGCTCTGGGAGGATAGACGATGATATGGGAGGTGGGATGACACGACCAACACCACGTCCGCCACGCAGTCCCGTGAGCACACGCAAACACACCCATGGTCGCAGCAGCATCCACCACCGCCGTGGCAGCAGTTGTGGTGGCGGTGGTGGTGGTGATAGGACAGGTATGAAGACCCAGGCTATCATTCGTGGTGGTGGTGATGATGGCGATGATGACGGTGATTTGGATGCAACGCTGATAGCGTCAGACCCAGACGCGTTGGCACTGCACAACGGCTACAGCGATGGCGGCGCTGGTGGCGTGCGCGCACACGCACACGATTCCGACGACAGCACCACCACCGATGAGGACGTGGTTGAAGGTGCGAACGCAAGCGGTGCCCAGGGGCGTGGTGGAGCGGGGGTGCGCCACAGAGCAGATATGAGGGTGGTGGTGGCTGAGAGCCAGCGTGGCGATGATGGCCAAACACAGGTGCAGGTGGAGCGGGTCACCAGCACCACCATCACTGCCGAAGCCGTCAACGACGACGACGACGACGAAGATGATGATGGTGATGACGATGATGATGATGATGATGGTGATGATGATGATGATGGTGATAACGATGATGATGATGGTGATGATGATGATGATGATTTGTGGCAGATTGTGTCGTTGGCCAAGCAGCATCTGCGCGAACATGATTCTGACAGCAGCACGCCGTCACCACCACCACAGCAACAGCAGCAACAACAGCGATCAGCCATACTTACAGGTGCAAAACGCACCAGCACTGCTGCCACCGCCACCACTGCACCAACTGCGATGGCACCACGTGCAGCAACAGCGCCGCGCCGCAGCATGACACGGCACTCCTCCTCGTCCTCCCTCTCGTCGCATGCCGCCGTTCGCGACAGCATAAGCTTTGATGTCATGGAGCGTGCTGCAACGCCTTTTGACGAAGACGAAGACGATGATGATGACGATTATGATGATGATGGTGGTGGTGGTGGTGGTGACGGGAGTGTGCGCGGGTGGAAGGACGTGCGTGCAGCGCGGCAGCGACGGCAGCGGCTGTTGGCAGATGTTGTTGGGCAGTGGTCCCGTGTCCGGCAGGTGTCACTACAGCCGGGGGCGCTGGAGGCGGTGGCTGAGGTGATGGAGGGCGTTGGTGAGGTGGCGGGTGACGACAGCGCGAGCGGCAGAAGAAAAGGGGTAGAGGGTGCTGATGATGGTGGTGGTGGCGATGATGATGACGATGACGATGAAGATGATGACGGCATTGGTGGTGCTGGTGATGATGCTGGCGGTGCACACAGCATGTCAACGAAGAGCAGCAGCACGAACAGGAAGAGCAAGAAGAAGAACAAAAGGGGGAGGAAGATGGGGAAGGGGAAGAAGAACAAGCAGAGCGGGCAGACGCGCCGTCGAAGTGCAAGCACAAGTCTGTTGGACCAGCACCACCGCATCACACCACGTACGCCATCACAGGCGCGGCTCAGCATGATGCTGGACTCGCTGCTTGAGGGCCGCCCGCCCGACCTCGCCACGCTGCGTAAAGCAATGGACCTGACAGACAAGCCCTCGGAGATGCCCCAGCAGCTGCGCATCCACGTGGTGACGTGGAACATGAACGAGCAGGACATTCCGGGCACGGTGGAGCCGCTGCTCGTGCCCGCAGCAAAGACAGGCCGCAACAGCGTCGGTGGCAATAGAGGTGGTGGTGGTGGTGGTGGTGGTGGTGGTGGTGGCAACGGTCAGCGTGCACATGGGCAAGCAGCAGATGGGTCAGCGACCACAAATGGCACGAGTGGCAGCAGCGGCCTGGGCGGTGGCGGAGAGACTGATGAGCCAATTGACCTGTATGTGGTGGCGACACAAGAGGGCACGATAGCTCGGCGGGCATGGCAGCTGAAGCTTCAGGAGCAGCTGGGCCCGCGCTATGCCCTACTGCACTCGCACTTCCTCATGGGCATCCACATGTGTGTGTTTGTGCGACGTCAGCTCATCTGGTTGGTGGACAACGTCATGTCCAGCCACGTGCCGACCAAGCTAGGCGGTATGCTGCGAACAAAGGGCGCTGTTGGCATTGCCGTCAACTTCAAGACCGTGTCGCTGCTCTTCATTGACTCGCATCTTGCCGCCCACCGCTCCAAGCTGCGCGATCGTAATGAAAACTATAACACGATTCGACGCACGCTTAACCTCCGCCCGCCCACGCGTGGCGCCGCCATGCCGCAAACGCCGGAGACGCCGCGCAGGGGACGCTTCTCGTGAGTGTGTGTGCGTGTGTGTGTGTGTGTGTGTGTGTGTGTGTGTGTGTGTGTGTGTGTGTGTGTGTGTGTGTGTACGTACGTACGTACGTAGTACGTACGTACGTACGACGGGTGTGACAGGGATCATCGTGGGCCCTTCGGATACCGCGCCTATTTCTGACAAAGCTAACTGGCCTGAATACTCCTACGCTAGGCCACAGGCAGTCTGTGTTTAAAAGCCTCGACTAGGTCACGGACATTTGGGTGGGGTGGTTTGACAGCGCCAGACAACATTTATGTTTTTAGCGCTCATCGAGCAAAACAGAACGTCGTGTGTGTGTGTGTGTGTGTGTGTGTGTGTGTGTGTGTGTGTGTGTGTGTGTGTGTGTGCGTGCATGTGTGTGCGTGCATGTGTGTGTGTGTGCTTCGCTGGCTTTCTGACTGCCCATCTGGTTGCTAGTCCTCCTCCCCTGTTGCTCACCTCCTCCCAACCCTTTCCCTCCACACATTCACTCACTCATACACAACCCCGCCCCTCTTCGCCTTCCCTCCTTCTTCTTCTGTACAGCGGTGGGAGTTCCTCTGCGCGAGATGCACTGGAGCAGTTTGACTTTGTGTTCTGGTGCGGCGATCTCAACTATCGCGTGGACTGCTCGCGTGACCTCGCAGAATACGTCAGTTGCACACGCGATGTGGAGTGGGATGGCATTTGAAGTTATGGTGGTGGGGTGGCGGTTTGTGTGTTGCGTTGTGTGTGTGTGTGTGTGTGTGTGTGTGTGTGTGTGTGTGTGTGTGGTGAAGGTGGTGGGTGTGGTGGTGGCTGATTGTTGGCTGAGTCAGAACATAACAGATCAATTCACCCATGGCAACGCCACCTGCTGTGCTCCCTCCCTGCTCCCATATTCAGCTGCTGGCAAACGGCGACTACGAGTACCTTCAGTCGCTCGACCAGCTCCAGCGCTGCCAGGAGCAGGGCACTGCCTTTGCAGACTTCAGCGAAGGGCCAATCAAGTTTCTTCCCACGTTCAAGGTGCGGTGATGAGGATGCTGGGTGATGCTTGTTTGGTTGCGACTCGAACGCAGCCAGCTTGTAAAATGCACATGCACACACCCATGCACTTACCCATGCACGAACGCACATTCTCTTGCCACCGCACGCTCTTACACATACACTCACACACACGCACTCACACACACACGCACTCACACTCACACTCACACTCACACTCACACTCACACTAACACTCACACTCACACTCACACTCACACTCACACTCACTTGCACTTGCACGCCCACTTACTAACACCACACATCATACATTCATTCTCCCTCCCTCTCCCGCTTCTGCCACGTGTGCAGTATGACATCGGGACGTCGCGTTTCGACACGTCGCAGAAGCAGCGCGTGCCGTCCTGGACAGACCGGATCCTATGGAAGACAAAACCAGAACTGAGCAACCGCGTCACGTGCCAGCTCTACTCGAGCGTCCCAAAGGTCACCTCGTCAGACCACAAGTGCGTTCATGTGTGTGTGCGTGCGTGGTGGAAAGAGGTGTGCCTCACTAGCAGCCATTTGCTACAGTCATTCGTGTTTCTAAATGAGTCACAAGGAGAGCCAGTGCCTCATCCACCGTCCCATCCACCTCACCATCCATCACCACCACCCGTGTCCCCCACCCCCACCTTCTTCGCGGCCACATTGGTGACAGACCCGTGTTTGGCACGTACACCATCCAGCTGCCTGAGCTAGGAGAGGGCAACACGGTACTCGACCTTGACCGTACGCATCCATATGACTTCAAGGCGTACATGAAGGGAAACAGGCGCCACTTCTTCCAGAACGCCCCCTCCCTCGCCAGCACAGACAACTCCATTTCCGAAGCGTACGTTGCGCGCGCGCGTGTGTGTGTGTGTTGTGGTGTGTCTGTGTCCGTGTCTGTGTCTGTGGGTGTGTGCATGTGTGTGTCTGGGTGTCTGTGTGTCGTGTTGTGTTGTGTGTGTGTATTATGTTATGTTATGTGTTGTGTTGTGTGTGTGTATTATGTTATGTTATGTGTTATGTTATGTGTTATGCTATGTTATGTGTTATGTTATGTTATGTGTTATGTTCAAGTCACGTCGTTGCTCTTCACTTGCTTCAGACGTCCTGCCCACCAACCAGCACATCCACACATGCATGTTCCATGCAACCCCTCGTCCTCTGCCTTCTCCCCCCAACCCCACCCCGTCTGACTCAATGTACTCATGCGATCATGGACCATAACCACCCCCCCCCCCGAACTTTGTGCCTGCAGGCATGATCGCCCACCCACCGCGCCAGCCTCCGCCACCAACACTATCCGGCCCACCTTCCGTGACCGGGTTGCCTATCGCAGTGCGATCTGTTCCGTTATGTAGCCAGCAGCAACCCCCCCACAAGCATGAAGAACCACAAGCAAAGGAAGGGTGCCCCCTTTGTTCGCGTGCATGCACGTCATGA